TATATATCATATTAAAAAGCTAACTTACTAATCCTTTCCCCTCGTCTCTTCAGCAGAAATGAAAGTTACTCAATAATTGACCTTTACGCTAAGTAACAAATGTTAAATTATAACTACATAATACCATTTGAGTAGAGTGTCGATTCGAACAGTAAATCAGTAGTATGAGATGTATTTATCCCATTTTGTTTAAACTGATGAAGTACTGATAGTCGAATTTTCCCACATTCTAACGAGTGTCGTTCGGTCACAGGGCATTGTGGGAAAATTCTCCTACCAGACCTTCATCACCTTCAACGAAATCGGGTAAATACATCTGATAATGAGCAAAAATCGGTACATTTTGACATCCACATTTTTCCCTTCCGCCTCGTTCCCTTTCACAGATTAGCGGCAACAAGATGATACAGTAAAAAAATCCAAAATGTGAATTATGAAATTTCTAGCGGCTACCATGTGCTGACAATAGAGTTTCTATGACAACTAATTCTGGCGAATTGCTTACACAAGTACTTGATATGTGATGGCTCTCCACGTTTTGGGTCGTTCCAGAAAATTGTATATCCGACCCTGCATGCGTCGATAGCGAGCGTCATTTCGGTTCATTCGCGTCGACAACGGCTTTCCGTGCAACGATGTCCTTCGACCGTTTGCAGCAGCACTCTTCGACAGAACACTCAAACCATTTTTGCCACCATCCAACTTTTCCAGTTCTGACCTATTCTGTCTGACACGAGTCGCGCCAACCGTGGACCGAGCCACGAAACCGACCGACTCACAATTGCACGCATCGTCTGGTCGGCATGGCGACCGGATTGTCGCGTTGTCGTCGGCCAATTGCGAAATAAGCGAGCCCGACGACACAAAGTGTACATTCATCATCGGTCTGGCAGAAAACGTGGAAACTGGTGCTGTCCTGCAATCCGGCCCGGCAACATCGCCTGCTTGTCCACCGAAAGATGTAATTATGCTTGCTTTACTCTCCATTCCGACGACCGCCTGGTACCGATGATACAGATGAGCGCATTTTTAGCCCTAAATGTCATACACTTGAGACGAAAATGAGTTTGGTTCCAGTCAAACGGACCACAGGTACAGAAATAACATTAACAAATGCACATGGGCTGAATTAATTGTGTATGCCCTAAAGCGTGACCAATCATGTTGACCTCACTTCCCATTGGCTGGTAGAAA